AATCTCACTTAAGGTAAGAGTTCTACTTATATTTTAAGATAGGTTCAATTTAAATTTAATTTTTTCTATTAGCAGAACAATTCAATAATAAAAGCAAATACACTAACATTCAATGTACCAACTAGCCCCAAAATACAATTACTATACTAATTTCTATCATAATATTTGCACGTGCACACTCATAGACCTCAATGATCTCCTGTGTCACGCCACACCACTTATTTTTTGACAACACATTAAGTATCAATATGAGCACACACAATTGATGTACAAATGATGTAACCCTACTTAATGGGGCTGCTAATATCCAAAGATCATGGTGGAATGAATCAAGAACGTGTATGTCTTCATTTGGAGAGATACGTGAACATATCATGCACCGGGTCCACCTGAAAATTGCTCTGATACTGTTGAGAACCAAAAAAGGCATTAAAATTCTCCACGGAGCCAGTGGCATCCATGTAATTAAACGGGAAATTAAGGACGGGTTGGCTCTGCACCTCCCTTTCGCACATGAACTCAGGGGACAGCACGTGCTCAGAGCAGCTAGAGTCGAGCTTTGGGACAGAATCACATGCTTCGAGGCACATGAAGTCTTTGTGCACCAGCGGGGATGACGTCATGATGACGGGCTTCTTGTCTTCATCTGGCGGCATGACGGGCTTCTTGTCTTCCTCTGATGCCATCACTTTGCGGCTATTGACGCGTTGCTTCTCAATGCTACCCTTTTTGTTGTATATGCGGCATAGCACCCAATCATCCAGCTGTATCAATAAATTATTGCCGTTTAAAACCAGTCACCACTAAATCAAGACCATTCAAAAATTTATGAGATAATATTCAGCAGTTATCAAATTTAGCCCCTATTTGTTTTTTTTTTAATAGTATTTTATTAAATTTTATTTATTTTTAATTAATGTCGACAAGTTAACTAGTTGAATTTTTATTAGTTGCTGTAGCCATGGTAAGAAATTTTAGGGCACATTTCTCCATTAGGAGGGTAAAATAGTCATTTCACTATTAAAACCCACCCTCAAGCTGTTGTTCTTGTTTCGAACAGACCGGTCCACATCGGCAAGCCGGTACTCGTGCATGATCCAATTGGTTTTCTCACCCTTCGGTGCCTTTCCGGCATAGAAAACCAAAGCTTTCTTAATTCCGACCGGCTTCGGCTTCCCAATCGGTTTATCGGCCCCGGTTGCCTTCCAATACCCAACTCCAGCAGCCCGATTCGGCCTCGAACCATTCGGGTATTTCCTGTCCCTTGGAGAAAAAAAGTACCACTCCTTCTCACCATACAAAGACAATCCTGTACAGTTTCATATTAAACCCAATTAATTAAGACCCAATTGGAATCACTCAGATCAAAACTTGGAGCAGAAAATAAGTAATTAAAATTTCATTAACAATAATTAAGATCAAATTGGAATCAATCAGAACAACAATTGGAGCTAAAAAATAAGTGATTTTAAGGCCAAAAAAAAAAAAAAATTACCGGGAAGGTCCCATGGGTCATACTTGTACAAGTCAATTTCTGCAATAACCGGAGCTGCAATCGGCTCAGAAGCACATTTCCGGCACAGATAATGCATCACGAGCTCTTCATCGGTTGGGTGGAATCTAAATCCAGCAGGCAATTGCAAATCGGCTGATTCCATTTCGAAAATTGATTACTTACTTCTTCTAAAGACTGCTATTTTGCTTTTAATATCTACTTATTTTGACTGAATTTTGACGGGTGCGGCGGCAGACGGAGCCTTTGAAACTTCGAACGCAAGGGAGAGAGGGTGATATATAGGGAGACGGTAGGACACTTGTCGGGATATGAAGTTGGGTGATGCGGTCATTGCTTACGCATTTTATTATGGACTGACCTGAGTGAGGAACTGAGGAAGGCGTTAACTAGAACAGAACGCAAAGAGTCAACATTTAGCTTCATTTTATCAAAATCATTTTCGACCCAAATTTTTTTTTTTTTT